CACACACACACACACTTAACACACACTACACACTTAACACACACTACACACTTAACAACAACACTACAACACTTAACACACACACAACTTAACAACAACACAACTTAAACAACACAACAACAACTTAAACAACTTAAACAACAACAACAACTTAAACAACTTAAACAACAACAACAACAACTTAAACAACTTAAACAACTTAAACAACAACAACAACAACAACAACTTAAACAACAACAACAACAACAACAACAACAACTTAAACAACAACAACAACAACAACAACAACAACAACAACAACAACAACAACAACAACAACACACACACACAGGAAGTTTGCGCGTGCGCGTCTGATTCGGGAGTTCCAGAGCTACCCCGCCGTGCCCGCACCACTGAATCTCATCCTTGAACCACTGGAGGTCGTCGTACGCATGTCCGGCATCAGCGTGCACTCGGTTGTGCAGGTGAACACGGGTCACTCGAGTACAGACCAGGCCGAGGAAGAGGAGCAGTTGCGCAAGCTGGCCAACAATCTTGTCGAGCGCCACCTCCGCCACGCCACCTCCGTCGACGTAAGCTCATGGTTTGAACGAGGGGGCAAGTGGAGGAGGGGTGGTGGTGGTGCAAGGGGTGTAGTAGATCTGTGTGCTTGAGGGGTGTGTATGTGTGTGTACGTGCGCGCGTGTGTCTGCGTCATGCATGACGTGAGCACCACTCCCGTGCCCTTTCGATCACACGACAAGCTCACTCATGCACACACACACACACACACTCTCTCTCTCAACCACACACACACACTCTCTCTCAACCACACACACACACTCTCTCTCATGCACACACATACAAATACACATGCTGCCCTCCATTCACTGCTGGTTGACACAGGATGCGGATGACATTTCGGTGTCGCGATCACTGCGTGACGGCGGCGGTGATGACAGTGCGGACATGCGCGCCATGATGAAGACCATGCTGGACAAAATGTCCGCATTGGAGCAGAAGATCGCAGCACTCACTGATGAGTAGAGCACTGATGAGTCGAGCACTGATGAGTAGAGGGGGGGGGGGGCGACAAATGTAAAACAGGACACGGGGAGACGGGTGCATTTGCGCGACGGATAGAGTGTGCGATGAGGCCGTGTTGCGTGAACACACGTGCTTGTGTATGTTGTTTGCATGTTGGTTGCTTTGTGCCTGTCTGCTTTGTGAATATTGCCAAGGTTTTTTAAGCGCGGTGTGTAATGTTCTTCCTTTGATACCAAGCAAGTCATGCGCTTTACTGCATCAAGTGTGGCATTGAAACGTGTGCACTAAATCACTTTAAGACCACTCCCAACAGGCCCGTCCCGACGCACAGTCAACAACATGCACCATGCCCACACGAACTTGCGCTAAAGCAAACATTATCACATGCAAACAAGCACGCAGAAGTAAACAACAACACGTGCCAGCACGCACGCACGCACACACATACACAAGTAAGCACACGCACACACATACACAAGTAAGCACACACACACACACACACACACACACACACACACACAAGAAAGCGCGCACAAAACCAACACTTGCGAATGTTGGTGTGTTTACCATCAGCGCGACCACCGATACGAGCGCCATCAGTTTGCATCGAGCAGGTCCATGACGTTTGGAGACATCCGCAGTTGGTCCAGCCGCAGGTCGCTGAACGTGGCGCTGTAATCTGTCATCGATGGTGGTGGATGGCGGTGATGATGAAGGTTAGAGTCTGGTTCAACCACGCGCGCGCACACACACACACAAACACACACACTCATATACAGACACGTACACATACACAGAACAACGATGAGACATGTGCACGCACCTTTGTACGTGACCCACTTCCCGTCGGCCTCCCCCTTGAGGTGTCGCCCCGAGTACGTGCGCGTGCCATCAGCGGCGGTGTCGATGTGCTCGACAACGCCCATGTGGAAGCGAACGCCACCGTCGCGCTCGCCCTGTGCACGATACATCCCCTGTGGTGTGTGTGGGTGTATGTGTGTATGTGTGTATGTGTGTATGTGTGTATGTGTGTGTGTGCGTGTGTGTGCGTGTGTGTGTGAACAGGGACAGTTCAGCGCGCAGTTGAAACATGACATGACACTGTTTGCCCCCATGCACTCATGAGCACACGGGTATTCTATGAGGCAGCTGCTATTCGACACTGCTGTTCATGCGTGATGTGTGCGTGCTCACCTGTGGGAACAGGACGTGGGATCCGACACCAACTTCATCCACATCTGGGACGCGATCCAGGGCAACCAGATCAAAGGGCTGATGATGATGATGATGGTGGTGATGGTGATGGTGGTGGTGGTGATGGTGACGATGGTGATGATGATGATGATGATGATGATGGTGGTGGTAGCGTGAGTGAGGGGGTGGGCGGCTCCAGTCAACAACTGCTGTAACAGATTGAAAAAAGGATGTTGTATGCTCAAACAAGCGCGTGTGTCGCAGCAAGCAGACTTGGTGGCCAGGAGAGACATGCCGGCATCACCCTCACCTGTACACGGCCCTCTGTGTCGCCGTCAAGAAAGTCAACCGTGAAACTCCGAGTCTCGCTGTTCGAGTTACAAGGAAGAGAGGAGAGAGTGAGTGAGGGAGTGATAAGGAACAAGAAAATGGCAGCAAGACGATAGGGGCAAGCTGAACAGTTCTTCATACTCCATTGCGTGCATACAGACACACAGACACACAGACACACGCACAGACATACAGAAACACGCATAGACACACAGACACACAGACAAAAACACAAACGCACACACACACACACACACACATATGTACACACCTGTCGAAGCTGTTGATGGTGGCCGGAAAAAAGGACCAGCGCGTCCAGTGCGAAATGACGCGATCCCCGACTTTGGGAACGCGGGACCGAGATTCCGTTTCCGATGATGACGAAGGTGATGACGACGACGCTCCTGGTCCTGCTGGCGCTGTGGGGCTTGCTTGGTTCGTCTGGCGTTATGTAACACGATGGCAGCAACAAGGGGTTGGCGGTGGATTGGAGACCGTGGGGATGGAAGCAACACTTGGGTGAGGAATGAACGTTTGGGAGAGTGTGCTGACAAAACTGTGGGCACGATACCAGAATGATGATAGTAACACCAAGGAGGAGGTGGTGGCGCCGTTGCTGGAATCAATGGCAACAGGCACACCAGAGGTGCAAGTGCACTGCATCAAAAAGAGAGAGGGGGGCGAGCAAATTCGTTGACCTGAAAAGTCTTCACACGGGACACAATCTCCTCCAGCTTGTTTGCAAAGTTCTCTGGCGTGACATCTTGCAGGTTGATGCACTCCTGTGCAGGTGTGTGTGTGTGTGTGTGTGCGTGCGTGTGTCCGTGTGTGTGTGCGTGTGTCCGTGTGTGTGAGGGTATATGTGTGAGGGGGCATCCAGAGATTGACAGACCACACATGTTCTGAAGTTGAGCTGACTGGGCACATACACAGAAACTCGTGTACACACGCACACACACACACATAAACACACTCACTGCTGCACACAGCGAAAACCACGTGGCGATGCGATCAACAGCAGCACCGCCGCACCATGTTCGAGAGGAGGAGGCCGATTGCCGTCTCCTTCCACGCGTCAGAGTCACCGACAATCACGGGGATGATCGGTTTCTTCAGCGATTTGAGCGCAAACTGATGCGGTGGGATGAGGTGGAATGTGGTGGAGGAGAGATGGTGGATGAGTCCTAGGTTAGCTTGAGATAAACGCAGATGACCTGACACAAAACAAACACAATCACACACACACACACACACACACACACACACACACACACACACACACACACACACACACACACACACACACACACACACACACACACACACACACACACACACGCGCACCCACCCGGCAAACATGCAGAGAGCAACTTTGTGGACCTTTGTGATGCTTTCGAAGAGCCCAGAGTCATCGGCCTGAATTTGCTCAATGTCAATCCAGGACTCAAGCCCTTGGTTTGCAAGCGCGTCCTGTTGTGATGGTGATGGTGATGGTGATGTGTTTGAGCTGAAGATGAGGGCCTGGGGCATGCAGCCTTTAACACACAGGCGCACGCTTGTGCGGAAGAGTTACCTCCGCCATCACCAACACCACCACAACCTTGATTCTGCGGGGGTCGTTGAATTCGTTGCCTGCGACGGAGGGCACCTGGTTGCTCGTCTTTGCGAGGAATGAATTCGTCCAGCAGTAGCTGATGAACACGCGCTTGGCAACATCCTGAGCACAGCAATGACGGTTGGTGGTGGGTGGTGATTGGTGAGTGGTGGTTGGTGGTTGGTGGTGAGTGATTGGTGGTTGTGGTTGGTGGTGAGTGGTGAGTGGTGAGTGGTGGTGAGTGGTAAAGAGCGAGAGGAGGAGGGTGAGCGTGCATGACACACACACACACATGAAACACACACATACATGCGCATACACACACACACACTCAGAGGCACACGAACATCTGAGATTGCGGCGGCCTGCGTTGTGGCAGACTGGTTGCCACTGGTTTGCGTGTTGAGAACGGTCTTGATGCTTCCAACAAGCTCCTCAAACTTGGCGCTGTAGTTGCTCATGTTCTAACACACGCGCGCACGTGCCGACAACGGGGGCGGGGGATGGTGATGTGCATTGTAAGTCTGCGGATGTGTTGCGTAATGTGAGCATGTGTGTGTGTGTGTGTGTGTGTGTGTGTGTGTGTGTGTGCGTGTTGTCGATGTGGTGCTGAAGAATAGGGGGCACTCCCGCACTCTTCCACACTCAAGTTCATTTACGCCCTCACAGTCCCTCCTTCGAATTCACACAGACACAGACACACACACAGACACAGACACCGACACCGACACAGACACAGACACACACAGACACACACAGACACACACACGTGTCCACACCTGAAAGTCGATGTAGAGGTCACCGGCAATCAGCAATCCGACGACGGTTTGCTGCCACTCCCTTCATGATGCAATCAAGCGCGTAGAGCACAAAAACAAATACGAAGGTGAGCACAGGCATGGTGGATGAGAGGGGCTGGTGTCGTTGGGACACGCGGGAATAGGAAAGGTTTACCTCAGGGTAGGGAGATAGAACCAACCAGGCGAATGGGCGGGCAGCACACACACACACACACACACAACACAACACACACACACACACACACAACACAACACACACACAACACACACACACACACCACAGCACACACATCACCACCCCTACCGTACCAGGAGCCGCGACCAACAACAACGGGCACAGTTGTCTTCCTGAGGAGTTTCTTTGCAAACTGGAACTGCGAGCGACAGTCGCTGTCGTCCGCATATTCGTTTGACACACACGCAACCACAAGCTTGGCATGCTTGATGGCCAGGGCCTGGTGTGGTGGTGGTGTGGCGTGTTGTTGTGGTGGTGGTGGCGTGTTGCATTGAAAGCCAATGGTGAGGCGATGCAAGTGATGAAGCAGCGCAGGTGAGGAACAACAATATGCGTGCATGATTACGGTGAGTACGCGTGCGTAAACACGCATCTGAGTTCATGTGCCGCGTGTATGATGTGGGTCGCGCATGTTTGCGTGTGTGCAAATCAACTCACGACTTGCTCCTGGGACGCGTTTGGATGGTCCATGTTCATCCAGCACGTGAACCCGCGCGCCTCCAAGTCCCGCTGTCACCAACGGCGAACGAGGGTTGATGCGTTCGTTGATTTGGTTGGACAGGGGAAAAGAGGGGAAAAGATGTTCGTGACGCGGTTCAGTGACGATGAAGATGAGATGGTGATGGTGATGGTGATGGTGATGGTGAAGTCACGATACAAGCCACGCGAACAACAAAACAAATTGTATTTTTGTGACAACAGCTGCTACTGCTGCTTCTCTATTGTCTGCACGACCACGAACACGCGACCCATCACCGGCACTGAAACGACACAACAACAACAACATCATCATCATCATCACCACCACCACCACCATCATCATCATCATCATCATCATCATCATCACCACCACCACCATCATCATCATCATCACCATCACCACCACCACCATCATCATCATCACCACCACCACCACCATCATCATCATCATCATCATTATGATCATCATCACCGCCACCACCACC